CCATATAGCGACGAGACCAAGTCTGCACATATATGCCAGTCCATTCTAATTACAAAGTCTGGAGAAACCACTTACAATACAAATTTCTTCGTTACAGTATTATTTACTTGTATGGATAGTCAACTTCTTTATTGCAATGAGTGCGACGTTTCGGTGTAGGTACTAACACCGTTATCAAGCAAGTGATACAACAACTGAAGCAAGGAGACTATATACATAGCTGTATAGTGAGTATATACAATTAACAAGGTTGATGTACATGTGGATATTTGATAAGTGATTACAGCAGAGGAGGTTGATGTACAGAGTGATTGATTGTGATTAGAGTTGAGTTTATACAATTGATGAGTTGACGTACAATAGTTGTGATTACAAGTACAAAGGAGGGAGCTTGGAAGCCAGAAGGACAAAGGAGGTAGGGAAGGATTACTGGTGGTGGTGTTTGATTAGGTGGTGATAGGCTGACGAGATGAAATAACCTTGATCTCAATTCATGGTGGGGTTGTGGCGTTGGATGTTTATGGCTTCAAGGAGTTTCCTAATTTTGTAGTCTTGTCGGTTGATTTCTAGCCATAAACATCCAACGCCACAACCCCACCACTGTTTTGTTTGTTGTTTAACGCTATATATTTAGTCACTGGATTGCCTGGTCTAGACGCGATAATGTATAAACAACATATTGTTAATGGGGAGTAAACAAGAAATAAACAAACGAAACCTAGTGTAAATAATTAGTAATTAAAGAACACCATGAAACGTCAAGATCATTTGCTCGTCTGTGCAGACTGTATACATCCGGTTTAAATATGCTGCGACTTATTAGTAGATGTAAGTATATTTTCCTTCTGTGTAAGATGACGTATACAGAAAATTAAGGGGAGCTTAGTTAAATCTTTAACCTAAACACACAGCAGGGTTCTCAAATGTGCTAAAAAACGCGTTAAGTTCAGTTTTGCGTTGATGATAACGCATTCGTTAGATTCGATAAAAATGATATTGATCGTGGCCCAGTAGCACAGAAAACTTTCATTTAGTTGTTTTTTTATTCTCTACGGCGGGTAACAACATTTGCCATCCAGAATTTGTTTCTACTATACAGGAGATATCCTTGGGTGATATCAAGCTATAGCTCTAAGGAGACATTGCTGTAATGACATTGCACGACACGTTTTAGACAATAGTGATGTCATCCGTTATCATGACGTAACAATCAAGTGACATCAGCAATCAATCTGCGACAGAAGCTGGTTAGGTGTACCTTTTACACCCAAAATGCTTATTACTTATTACTGTTTTAATACTGAAACTTTTAGCAGAGTGATTTTGTATGATAATTAAAAGCCCACTCCCGTGTCGTTATGTCAATTATATTTACACTCCTCGATAAAAGATTAAAGTTTCTCCACATACATCGGAATTTTAATGTAAGTATAAGTATGGATAGTTTGATATAGGTCAGCATCATCACCCTCTGTATCACACACCGTAATCTCTGTTTTCGACCCGTGAAGGCGACTAACGCGATCAGGTGGTCAGGCTCGCTGACTTGTTTGACACATGTCATCGTATCCCCATTGCGTAGATCAATACTCATGACGTTGATCGGGGCGGTGGGGTAGCCTAGTGGTTAAAGCGTTGGCTCGTCACGCCGAGGATCCGGGTTCGATTCCCCACATGGGCACAATGTGTTAAGCCCATTTCTGGTGTCCCCCCGCCGTGATATTGCTGGAATATTGCTAAAAGCGGCGTAAAACTAAACTCAGTCAGTCAGTCAGTCATGACGTTGATCACTGGATTGTCTGTTCCAGACTCAATTATTTACAGACCACCGCCATATAGTTTGAATATTGCTGAGTGCGGCGTAAACCTAAACTCACTCACTCCCCCCCTGTCTTCCCTAGCCATCTAGCATATAACCATAGAATCGTTTATAGTGTTTGAAAAGAAACCAAACGCGGACACCAAAGTGAAGTTTCAGTCATTTTGGGTAGTGAGTCAAAACCACGTTTCACGTTAGTCGGTCGGGAGACATGTATAACATTCTGAGGTACAGATAAGCTGCGTATCTGCGTAAATTACGCAAATATTTATGTGAAAACTCAATTCCTATTAAGACCGTTGCGTACAAGTACGCTTGAATCTTTGTAAATACTCAATAAATGCGATCTTACATGCGTACACACAAAAATGTCAAATCTTAGCTTGCGTACGTGTGGATAGATGAAATAACAGGTATATTAAGAGGTTCTATTTCAGGACATGAACTTGACAACTTGCAGTCTTTCTTCGCGTTTCTCATTTTACAGATCAAATATAAATAACAAACACTAACATTTAAACTTTATTATATTTTTTAAATTAATGGAAAATGGTAAAATACCCAATTGAGCGTAGGTGAGGGGGAGTGCAATTTATTTGGTTACTCAAAGGAAAATTAGAATACCCAATTGAGATGAACAGAAGCGAGTACATAACTCAATGACCAAAAACGTTATCTGTAGCTCTGTTAACATGACGTATTTTTCAAACTGAATGCGATACGTACATCCCTACATTCTTCACACAATGTCAAATGGCTGTGAGCGAAATATATTAGGTATGAAAAGGATCACTTAATTAGGAAAAGCTACTTTTTTGAAAATGTACACAAAGCAAAATACTTAGCATTTTAAACAAGAACTGTATTTCTCTTTTATTGTAATGTTCACCATTGCATTTTCACATAAACACAATATGGATAGCTATTTAGCTTTGTTTTATAACTGAAACTGAATAAATTTCCTTAACAAAATTGATAATATTTTTAAGCCGGAAATTTTATTCAGTAAAGAGGCCCTCGGCCATAATACAATCAGACTGACGACATTGTGTTTAGTGGGTGCGCAAAACACCTTTTCAGCTCTATGTCCTGGAGTTTATCAATTTCTGTAAAGGCCAACATTGTATATAACAGCAACATTTTTGCTTTGCAAAAGTTTTACGACTGAGTAATGAGTAAGTGGTTCTTTAGTGAACTTTGTTATATATTTCGTTCTAAGTATATCATAGGTATTACAAATATATAGTACATGATATTCATTTTTTATATAATGCTGGCGTCTGGTTTTACGAAAAGGACATATAGCCTTGAAATGTATGATACTTTATGGATGCCAACTTCTTCAGCATATTATGATGCGACTTTTGCTTGACAACGGTATAAGAAACCATAAGAAACGACACACAGAGCATAATAAAGAAGTTGTAATTGTCATAAGTATGTTTCTTGTTATCCACCAAAATCTAATATGCCAATCAAACAGATGATATTTTGTGTTAAATGTATACATCTATGTGCACGTTTCAGAAGGAATAGTTGTTTTTAGTGGTTTAACTGAAAGGGCATTTGTGGCAACCGATAGCCAGCTACATGTTAGTTACTGACGATTTACGAAGTCAACCTCCCGTATTGTGTAATATAATCAATTGTTTCATTTTTGAAGCATTGTCGGCACAAGTTATGAAACTGTATACTAAATTTCCATGTACCCTGTTGGTCGAACCGTATACGAGTATCCTCGTCAGCCCATGCCATACAATGCGTTTCAGTATTTCAGCTAATAATTCTAAGACATGAAATGACCACATTATGATAAATAAATGTATAAACATATTTTTGGTTGTGTTGAAATATTCTATAAAATACTTGATTTTACTGCCTAAGAGATGCGCTTCTTGTTCAGTTAAGATATATCGGAAGACAATCTGTTATTTCACTCAGAAGTGAACCCAGTGATTTGTGATTAAAATGATTTTAGCGTTAAACCAAGGAACGACAATGAAACAACAACGTGTACAAATCAATACGAGTTACTGCGAAGTCAGCACAAAATAGAGTGGAAGCACAAATCTAATGGCATTACAAACACAGTGGCAATAGGATATACTAGCAGTGGTTACAGCAAATATAGACACCACTGATAATATCCACTTGGCTGCAACAGCTGTTAACCTTTCAAAAAAGCCCGTTGTTGAGAACCCAGGATGAGGGGGTGAGTTTAGTTTTACGCCACCTTTCACAATCAAGTGGGGAATAGAAGCGTGACGAGCGTACGCTCTAACCACAAGGCTACTCCATCGTCCCCACTTACAGTGAGTGAGTGAGTTAAGTTTTACGCCGCACTAAGCAATATTCCAGCTATATGGCGGCGGTCTGAAAATAATCGAGTCTGGACCAGACAATCCAGTGATCAACAGCATGAGCATCGATCTGCGCAATTGGGAACCGATGACATGTGTCAACCAAGTAAGCGAGCCTGACCACCCGATCCCGTAAGTCACCTCTTACGACAAGCATGGGTTACTGAAGGTTCATTCTAACCCGGACCTTCACGGGTCCCCACTTACAAAAGGACATGATATTGTTATCACCGGCAACGCGTTTTGCGGGGGGTATTATTTTGTACTCCGCCCATGAAAATTCATCTTATCCGGAGCAGAACATAAAAAACCATTCAATATTTCTTCACCAAATTTGGCACAGAGATAGGTCTGGTGGTGAACTGGTGCCTTTTGGTAGTTTTGGATTTCTGAATAAAATAATTTTTGTATTTCCATGGCAACTAATTTGACTTTGACTGAAATTGGTGGTAGAGCTACTTTCCGGAGCAGAACTTAAAAACCTTTCAATACTCTCTTTCCACTTTGTGGGTATTCAAGAACCTAATGACATAAACCAACAGTACCACTCCAGTATCAACATTATTGAGGTACATCAAACCGTGGAAGCACTCAAGCACGCACTGTAGTATATGAATGGTTCACATATGTATGTTTTCGTTAGATCAATGTGAAGTACAATGTAACATTTGACATAGTCAAAGCTAAAGTCTAGTTGAAATATTCATCAAGAATATTTTACCATTGCGGGGGGATATTGATGACTTCGTCTTCTTCGTATATTTCCTTCGGTCAGGTTTGTTTTCAGTTCCGTTTAATTCAATCAACGTCTACATTTTCAGTGAACGGTGGCATCTACCTGGACACCGACATGATGATCCTACGGCCAATAGACGCTCTCCTGAACACCAGCCTCACCATGGGACTGATCGACAACGGCACGGGGATGGGCAACGCTTTCATTGTTGCTGAGAGGAATTCAGAATTTCTGCGAGAATGGTATTCAGGATATCGTCATTACAATAAATCTCACATCTTCGAGAACTCACTATGGACCGCCAAACGTCTGTGGCTTAAGAACAAAGGGTCAGTTAACGAAATAGCCGCAATGATGTACCGACCAAACTGGTTCGAGTCGGCTAAGTTGTTCAAACAAGCCGGTTATGACTGGAAGTCTCGCTACGCGGTTCACGTCTGGCATCGTCACGGGCATGTGCCTGAAAACCCAGAGGAGATGAACAAACTCAATACTACACTGGGGAAATATTTAGGTTTGTGTATTACGGCAGTGAAGAGATGGTACAGTCATGAAATAACATTGTTTATTTCATCGTTTGATGTGTAACGCCGCACTCAACAATATTCCAGCAATATGGCGGCGGTCTGTAAATATTCAAGTCTCTACCTGACAACCAGTGATCAACATCTTGAGCATCGTCTGTGAAATTGGAATAGGATGACATATGTCAACCAAGCCGACGAGCCTGACGACCTGATCCGTTAGTCGCCTCTTACGACAAGCATGACAAGCACGACGGATGTCATGGCTGGTTCCCTTTTCTAGGCAAGATCTGAATAACAAGGTCACAGGCATAACTGAACATCGAAAAGCTGAAACATTTCAGGTGTAACAGTAACTCACCTGTATACTGCTGAACTTTGTTGTCACCTATCGTGAGGCGTTTCTCATGTATAAACTGTTGTATATGCTCATAAGTATTGTAGGCTAAAAAAGAGTCTATACACAAACCCATCTACATCTTTAATGTGGGCAGATGACAACCCACAAGATGTTTCGGGGACACTAGCCGCCAGCTGTATGTTCTATTCTATTTACATTAAAGGTTACGCATTAGGTACAATGAGTGAGCATGTTGTAAAGGTATATTCCAGGCATTGTAATCACATATTGTAAGATGGGGAATCGGACCGGATTGCGTGACGAGCGAACGCATAAACCATTATTCTACCCAACTGCCCCGTATCATTTGCACACGGACACTACTGACCATGGATAGGAGAAACGACGGAGAAGCTTTATAATTAAAGTGCGAAGAGAAACAGTTCAAATGTACCTTTGTTCGGACAATATTTCAGTGTTTGTGCGAAATACTACTAAACAAATTGTGGGTGGATTGGGAATGTGTAACACCTTGAGACAACACGAGACACAGCGTCGTACAAAGAATGGTAGCTTTATTTCTTGAGTACTCTTGTGAGGTACGGCGAACACTTACTACACAACTTGTAGAGGCTACCAGGGCTAGGCGACGGGGTAAGGTTGACACTTGGGCAGTAGACGTCTGGACTGACCGGTCAGTTCGTCCCTTCAAGTCCCTGGCTTGCCTCTTCCGCTGGTCTGTCCACGCCCTTCCCGCTGTCTGCCCACTCTCATTTACTTGCCTGTCCTCCCTGCTTTTATATGCACATGAATGATAAACTATTTGCTTAGCGTGCACATATTTTGACTAGTCAGCAGTTCCACTGGCATGATCTGCCTAGGTGGCCATATTTTGTTTAGCTATGAGTGAGTGAGTGTGTTTAGTTTTACGCCGCGCTCAGCAATATTCCAGCTATATGGCGGCGGTCTGTAAATAATCGAGTCTGGACCAGACAATCCAGTGATCAACAGCATGAGCATCGATCTGCACAATTGGGAACCGATGACATGTGTCAACCAAGTCAGTGTGCCTGACCACCCGATCCCGTTAGTCACCTCTTACGACAAGCATAGTCGCCTTTTGTTACAAGCATGGGTTGCTGAAGACCTATTCTACCCCGGATCTTCACGGGTCTTAGCTATGAGTGACACATCGTTGACAAGTGTCCACACAAATCGCTGATAAGTGTGCACAAGCAATAGTGTTACAAATGTTATAAAGTCATCTCTGACGTATGCTATGCGCAATGCTTGTTTGACGGTTCTGGAAAGTACACCCTTAATTTATAAAAATTGTATCTTTAAAACATTATACCAATTGAGATAAATATCGATGGAAAAGCTCCATATATGGAACTTGTGTTTCAATCTGTTTGTGTGAAGATGTGAGGCGGCGAACAGGACTGACGGGCGTGTAAAATATTTATTAACTGACTAGAACCCTTCTTTTCTTGTAATAAACAATATCGGCTGGATATACAGTCAAGAACCAGTCAGAGTAAAACTGGTTTCGTAACTGTCCGCGATACAGTTGCTATTCGTGACCAACTCGTATTAATCCGGACCAGTCGAATATAGCAGGTTACGGAAAAGGGCGAGTGTTGACAAATGAAGTTCGTTTAATAAAGACATACGCATTATTTCCTTTACTTTTACAATGTTGGAGAATGGTGTACTTTTATGTCAATGTACATTAACAAATGAGGATATTTGCTCACGCCATCAGCCATCTTATCTGTGAAATAAATACATATGTAAATGTACAGGCGGAGGCTTTCAATTCATGCTTTCGCCTTATACGTTGGGAATACTCCAATACAGGTAATCAGATATCGGAATATGATAAAACATGTTGGAGAATATGCGACAGTAGAAATAGTTTGGGCGTGGGCCAAGGTCGTGTTTTGTCTGCCTGGCTATTTTCTCTCTAAATAAATGATCTACTACATGAACTAAATGATACTGGCTGCGGTCTGTGTCTGCCTTGGGGGAAATGCCAAGGAATACTGCTAGCCGATGACACAACGTTGCTCACCAATAATCCAACAGATCTCTAAAGACTGTTGAAGGTGACTGAACTATATGCAAATAAGTGGTAGCTAAAATACAATGTTGGTAAAAGCACTGCTGTAACCTTTGGACGTAGCAATGCATCCCTACCTGCTAACCTGTATCTTGGAGAAACTAATCTCCCTATTAAATGGTCTGTAGTTTATGATGGAGTCCATATCAGCACTACTAAGTGCTCTACGGAGAGAACAAAACTTGTCTGTGAAAAGCTTCGAAAATTGATAAATATGAACTGACTCTGGCCTCTACTTTGGCGGTTTGAATCCTCTAGTGGCTGTACGTATTTGTATTGAGTGATTCTACCTTGTGGTTTGTATGGATGTACAGTTTTGGGCAAATTGTCCCTTAAAGAATATGAAATGCTAGAAATCATCCAGCGCTACTTCTGTAAGAAAGTCCAAGGCTTTAATAAGTACATGCCAAATGAATTGTAAGAGATACAGTCGGGATAACATCCCTACAAGGATATATGGAACAACAAAGCCTCTTACTCCTTGGTAAACTCTGTAATGCCAACACAAGATACAGCTTTAAACAAATGTTTCAGCCTGCCTTGGCCAATACTACTGTAAAGAATCACTGATATACGAGAATAAGTTTGATATGAAATCACCTGTTTTTAACATGTTACGGCTTGTTTCCAAATACAATCTGCTTAGTGAAATCCGTAACTACATTTGCGATTCTAAGTTTATGAAGCAAAATGCTTGGTCGCAACTAGTCAAAGATAAGGTAACTACATATGATCAAATGCAGTTGGTAAATGTACTGCAGACAAAGTTGTGTCTCTCCAGATATCTAACAATAAGATCAGGACGAGACCATAGACTATGGATACTCGCTTTAGAACGACCTCAGAACTTCACTGACATTGCGAGCATTATAAGGCTTGGTGCAACTTCAATAGAATCAAAGGAATGTCTATGCGGAACAGTTGCTCACGACATTATGAAACATGTTTTTATGTCATGCCAGTATAACTTAGTAGAAAGAAATTCTCTATCTGAAAGAATCTGTGACATTCTTGACATAGACATTTTTGTTAAAATGTGGATGGAAGACGATGATGTATTCCTGTCATTCCTCCTCGGAGGTATACCCGACCACTGTAAAGATGTATTGGACTATAATGTTTGGTCAAAACTGATGGTAATGATTAGTTTCTCTGTTCGCAGTTGGAAGAGCATACTCCGGCAATGTTCATAAATACCTTCAGCTCTGTCACAACTGAATATTACTGTATAATATAAGTACTAATAGTTAGAACCTTTTCTGTACTGTTGTTTATCATATAAATGTAATCTTCATTTTATGGAGGAAATATAGAATATCTATGTATCGTTGGAACATATGCATCAGTAGAAATAGTTTGCCTCTATTCACTTACACTAGCTGTGTTTTCTTATGTATATATAGTACAAACTGTAACGGATCAATAGACCAGTACACACGGGTTATCTCCCTTACACTATTGGGCCTTCACAGAACATTGAAAGTACAGGAAACACTAACTGTGCTTTATAGGTATATATATTTCGAATTGTAACGGATCAATAGACCAGTACACACGGGTTATCTCCCTTACACTATTGGGCCTTCACAGAACATTGAAAGTACAGGAAACACTAACTGTGCTTTATAGGTATATATATTTCGAATTGTAACGGATCAATAGACCAGTACACACGGGTTATCTCCCTTACACTATTGGGCCTTCACAGAACATTGAAAGTACAGGAAACACTAACTGTGCTTTATAGGTATATATATTTCGAATTGTAACGGATCAATAGACCAGTACACACGGGTTATCTCCCTTACACTATTGGGCCTTCACAGAACATTGAAAGTACAGGAAACACTAACTGTGCTTTATAGGTATATATATTTCGAATTGTAACGGATCAATAGACCAGTACACACGGGTTATCTCCCTTACACTATTGGGCCTTCACAGAACATTGGAAGTACAGGAAACCTTTGATGTGTATGTTCATGTGTTTGAAAGTCAATCTTCAGGTATATTAGATCGATATCAACTATAATGATCTCTATCGTAAGCTATTCTATGTTATTATTTTCCACTCATGTACCTGTAAACATGGTTCACGATGTCCCGGACTCAAGCATTCCGCTGGAGTGTCCCTCCATAATACACCCTTATTATGTTCCACCCGGTTTGATTGTAGAACTGTCGGTTACACACGCCTGTCGTGGCAACCTGACTTCCAATGCACAATAATGTTGTAAAGAAATGATTACAATTTTGGACATATTGATTCCAAACACTAAATAATATTGTACTGTCTATTTCCTGACCAGCTTGGTGTTCAGAGGCAATGGCTGACTTGATATAATTCAGTAGTTTGTAGCAAATACTTTCAAAATAGTATTGTTTTACGCCACACTCAGCAATATCCCTGCTATATGGTAACGGTCTGTAAATAATCTAGGTTGGACCAGACAATCCAGTGATCAACGTCATGAGTATTGATCTACGCAATTGGGAACCGATGACATGTGTCCACCAAGTCAGCGAGCCTGACCAGCCGATCCCGTAAGTCGCCTCTTACGACAAGTATGGGTTGCTGAAGACCAATTCTACCTGGATCTTCACGAGTCTCTTTCAAAATAATTAGCACCTGTATTTAACCCATTTTGTTGACAACAAATAATTCAGAACTTCCTTGTTTTCTTCACTGGAACCATATGAACCAATATTTCCCATTTTATTTTGTGTATTTTTTTATGGATACTAACTCCAAGAATCGTACCCCTACTGCATATTTTAAACATGTTGAACACCAGTGCTTGTCACCGCCCATTAGACCATGTGGTTAATACTAATGTATTTGGTCTATGAACATGTGGACACTGTTTCAACAGCAGGGTAAACCTTGTTTGTTTTTAGTAACCTGATACATTCTGTGGCTAGTTCCATATCAACAAGAATTTTTGGAGGGTGGGAGGTGTCAAGCTGATTACTGGGTAACACTTTCACTGCTGCTGAGAGATCCTTAAAGATTGGGAAACTTTCGTAGCATTTGGCCAAGGACTATGTTGCATTAGTTGCACGTGCTTAGATTAAGAGTTCAATAAGTTGTTCCATTTCATCAAAGGGTGAACAGGTTATTCCATTTTGGTCCCAGACTGTCCAGTTTGTCAATACGATTTTCAGCTTCCTATTTAATTAACATTATAAAACTGCAGCTTTCTTCCATAGCATTTACACAGTGAATCGCACCACTTATAACTCTTCACGGAACAAGACATTGACATATAGCTCATGCTCACGAGCCACAAAGCGTTCGTCACGTTACGACACGTCGCAACTCTATAGTTTATCATAGGCTTACGGAACTCGTAACACTACTGCTTGTTCAGCTTGACCTGATCAAGTGAATACTAATGCATTGCGTTACCGTGTCACAACTGGTTGGGTCTATTATTGTGAAGGGGTGCACCTTTGTCAGTTCATTGTCAACAGCCGAGACAAGGTCGCCGTTTGACATCTCAGTGTCGAGAAATCGTCAGCAATGTCCTAACTTTCTTTAAAAAGGAAGCTAGAGATGGTTTAATGTTTCCGATTCGGGCTTTTAGGCATTAATAACCTTCTCTGCTCCCCTTTTTAATGAAGTTAACTTGACTTGCCGTTTGTGCCTTTTGACCTCCCGGGTCATGCATATGTAGAGTCGCTCAGGTCAAGCTGAACAAGCTGTACGAACGTTTGGTGTGTTAGTTATTTACATTATCTTTGCCAAAATATAATTCCCACTTATCTACTAAATATGCTATAAATAATGTAGCGTATTATAAATACTTCTGTTTTA